CCACATTTCCAAATCATACATAAAATACTACGGACAGCAGGGTGGACATTACCCATTTGCTGTGTGTGTTTCTGTTTTGCTAAAAATGTTGTCACTGGCATTTGGTATTTGCTACTTGTCTATATTTTGTATTTGCTATGCACTATTTGTTGGCTCTGACTCAACTGCATACAGTAACAATTTGTCTATAAGGAAGCTCTGATGGCCTAATGGTAAGAAGCTGGGCTGCAATTCCAGAGGCAAATGGTTTGAATCCACCAGATGTTCCATGGAAAAAGGATAGGCAATCACCTCCCATTTGATTTACAGCCTCTGAGAACCTCCTAGAAGGTCAACTATGATTCAGCAACACACAACAATAATTTGTCTACTGTGGATACATTTCAGAGGAACTTTCAATCTAAGGCATCTAGAAAGAAAGTCCTAATGACCTCCTTCCAGAAACTAGCCAGTGAAATCCACAGGACCACAAGAAACCATTGTTCCATGTAAAGCTGGAAGATAAACCCCTAAGTTGGATGACAACAATGGACTCCAGCCTAACAGTGATCATGAGAATGACAGAGGACTAGGCAGTGTCTTATTCTGATGTACATGATTCACCATGTGTTGATGTCAACGGTAACAACAATGTGAGTGTGGCTATGGGACAGTGCATGAACAATTATAATATTCCTCAATTCACCTTAAATCCTGAAGAAAGAAAAGAGCTCAAATCTGACAGAATTCACAGTAACTCAATTGGCTGGATTATTGTCTAAGACGCTTTGAGTTGTTGTTGTTGTTGTTGTTGTTGTTGTGTACTGCTGAGTCAGAACTGACCCCTAGCTGACCCTCCAGCAGGTTTTTTTTTATATTTTATTTTATTTTTTTATAATTTTAATGAACATTTACAGAGAATTTGGATTTCCATTCATTCATTCATTCAGCAGGTTTTCAGAGGCAGTTAATAGCATGAGAGGAGATTGTCCTCCCTTCTACAGAGCAGCTGGTGGATTTGAACTGTATGCCTTTGAAAGTGCAGCACAGCTTCTTGTGATTAGGCCACCTGAGACCCAAGGATTGTTAGAGTAGGAATGAATTCAAGTATGATTAAGAAAAGAAAAGGATGTGAATATACTAAAATCCACTGGCATGTTCACTTTAAAGTGACTAATTTGATATTTATTTTATAATATTGAATTTCATCTCAATTTGGGGACAAAAGAGGAAAGGATTCTATATAGAACCATTTGACAGAGAATCCAGAACCAAACTCAGGCCAACAGAATTCCAGCCTGTAGAAGTGGATCTTGGTAAAGTTGAGCAAAAAAGAGGAAGACTCTCAGTGAGCTGGAATTGACACAGTGACTGTGTGTCTCACCTGCTTTCATATAAATCCAGAACAGGCTTCCTCCCCTGTGCCCTCTCCATGCCCTCAAGGAAGCTACTCTTTTCCACACATTTGCTCTCCCAAATGCTGGCATCTAGGAGAAGCAAAGCACCAGATTCATGCCAAGTACTTAGCCCTAATTTAAGTAAGTCTGGGGGCCTAGTGGTAAGAAACTATCTTGTCAACCTGAAGGCATATGGTTTTAATCCTTCAGTGGCTCTGTGGGAGAAAGATGGGCATTCTACTCCAGTACAATTTACTGACTCTGCTGGAGGGTCAATTGATTCCTACTCATTGGAACATAACAGTAAGAATTAGAGCTCAACTATCCTCTCACACCAGGCCCAGGTCACTCAGAATGTAGAGGGTTGTGATACCTGTTCATCTTAGTACATACTGTGGCTTTGAGAGAAGGATCCCTTCTGAACCCAGGAGCTGAGAGTTCGTTGAGAACATGGTAACAAGGCATAAGATCTTGAATATTTCTTGTTTCCAGAGTGTGCTGATAGGAGACAGATTTTCTTGTGTAACGACCAGCCACATAGCCAGCAGTTCATTTGCTCTCAGTGAGGTGTGTTCTAACCTAGTGCGGCCTCAGTTATTCCTCACGTCCCATCAGTCCTCGGGGCTCAGTACTAGGGTCAGGTGAGTAGCGTGCTTATCTCAGGTGCAAAATTTAAGGCAAACCAAAAAACCACAGAAATGTCCTTATTTTATTTTATTATTTTGTGTGTGTGTACTATCATATTGGATCTGACTGGTAGAGGAGGGAGATTGTCCCTCCTTCACCAACAGAGCATCTGGTGGATTTGAACTGCACACCTCCGGGACTGCAGTGTAGCTTCTTGCCATGAGGCCACCAGAGCTCCCTGAGAAATGTCTTTTATGAAAATAAGCTATTGACTAAACATAAACTTTAAAATAATAATAACTTTTATTGACTAATAAAGTAGAATAACCATAGATTTTTAAATATAAATGTAAGAATAATCCATGATAAACTGCCTATCAACATTTTAGATAAATACAACATCAGTTTTACATGATTAGACATAGCACTTTCTTTACTCAACTTTTTGTGTTTTGTTCATGATGGACTTACTGCATTAAGTTTTAATTTTAATAAATATTGTGTTAAAATATAATTTATCTTAATTATGGAGGGGCTTTCCACCCTTTGAATTTTGTACCCAAGCCCAGCACACCTCCTGCTTTGCTCTAGTCCCAAGCCTGAGTTCATAGCAAAAAATACCTGAGAAAATATGACTACAAGATCAGTATGGTTGTTGGGTGCAATAATCCCCTGAGATAGTGAAGTATTTACAGTGATGGTTTATTGCTTTATTTTACTGCTTGTTTCCTTGACTTCTTGCATTTTCTCGGATAAAGAGCTAAAGAGGAGTTACTTTCCAAATTTCCACTCTGATATTGTGCCACACAATTATGTAATCTGCCTAAGGGCTAACTCATTCTGATTGGATGGTTGTTGTTTTTTGTTGTTATGTATGCACTGTCAAGTCGCCTACAAGTCTTAGTGACCTATGTACAGCGGCTCTGAAGCTTGCTCTGCCCTGAGTCTGTCTCACTGTCTCCAATACACCTAACCCCCGTTGCTCTAGCTACTGAATCAATCCATCTCACTTGAGGTCTTCCTTTTTGGTTCTGTCCCTCCACCCTTCTGAGCATAATGTCCTTCTCCAAGGACTGGTCCCTCCTGGACACATGGAAAACTTCAAGATTGGATGGTAAAGTTGATCAAATTGTACTTTGCTATTCAGACAGAATTTCTAAGGAGAAACCACCTGGTTAGAACTGACTCAATGGAAATCAGCCACAATAATCAATGCTTATGAACTGTGGTGTTGGAGAAGAGCACTGAACATCCTATGGATGGCCAGAAGAACAAACAGATAAATGTCTTGGAGAGGGTGCAGCTGGAGTGCATTTTGGAGGCAAGAATGATGTGAGGCTTCACCTCATATACTTTGAGCATGCTGTTATGAGGTGCTATTCCTTGGAGAAGGACATGATGCAGGGTAGGGTGGAGGGTCGGCGAAGGAGAGGAAGACCCTCAACCAGGTGGACTGACATGGTGACTGCTGCAGTGGGCTCTTGTGTGTCAGAAGTATGAAAATGGCACAGAATAGAATAGGGTTCTTTTATTCATAGTGTCGTTATGAGTTGTACTTGGTTCAATAGCACCTAACAACAACCACCACCACCTCCTAAAATTTACTCCAGAACTTAATTAAAGCCTTATAAATGCCACAATATGCAAGTCCAAGAGTACCAAATTCCCTTTTCCAGTAGTCCAGACCTGAGTTGCTGAATATTTCAGCATAATTGTAACCCCGTGGATCTTGAAGAAAAGAGTGTGTCATAACACTGTTACTTCTTGTCCTCTTCATACACTTGCATTCAACATCCCACCTTTGCTTACCCCCACCTTGAACAGAAACAATTTCTCCTAAGCCTGCATTATTATCTTACCTATCAACAGTTAGTGGGCAGGGATGTTTCAACTCATTTTCATTGTAAATGGAAGCAAAAGCTTTTGAAGGAAAGCCTGGGAAACTAACCCCACTTATCTCACCGATCACGTGGGAAAGAGGCTTCTAAGCACCAGACATGCACATGAGAAGAGCATTGTGAAGCCTGTAAGGCAAGAATGTAATACTAGAGGGGGCCTATCGGACAAATGAGAATCTCTTCCTTCAACTCTGAAATGAATGCAGTGAATGGGGCAGAAATAGAAACCTCTGTGGAAGGCCTATCACTTTGGGGGGAGCCATTTATAAGCAGGGGTGTTGTAGAGATATGGAGTCCCCATGAGCTGGAATTGACTTGACAGCAAACAATAGCAAAAGAGACAAAAAATTCATTGGGACTATTTGGTGGCCAGATTCATGTCTCAGCCTTCCCTTTTAAATTCATTGCCTTGTTCTTTTATCATTTAAAATGAGCGTTAAGGCATTGTATCCAACCAAGTGTCCCTGTGGTTCTGTTGCTGAGAACCCAGGCTCCTGTGCAATGCCTGACTGGAGGGATGAGCTATGGTAGAAGGCCTGCAACTGCAGCCAAGTGGATGAGCTCCTTTCAGGCATAGGGGTGAGGTGGGGTGCTGAGAAGGTGGAGTGGATGGAAGATGGCGCCCCTGTGTGGGACTGTCCTTGCTTTTCCCCCCGCGAGGAATCCTCCCTCAACTTCCTCCACCTTCCATTGAAGAAATGAATTGCAGCTCTCACAACTGGCCTGAGTCCAGTCAGTTTATCTACCAGTAAGGTTCATTAGCAGTCCCCCTTGCCTTTGAGAGCTCTGGTAAACCTAGTGAATAAGGAGTTGACAATCCAAAGGCATATGATCTGAACTCATTAGCTGTTCTACTGGAGAAAGATGGGCAGTCTCCTCCTGTGCAATTTACTGCCTCTGAAAAGGCATCCAAGGTTCAATTATTAGATGACTCTGACTTGAAGGCACGTAACAACAACACAGGGTAAACATACTTGTCCAGAAAAGCAGCATGAATGCCTGATGAAACCACCTGAAAATTCTGGCCAAGACACAGGCGACAGTTATTCACTTTGGGCAATTTAATAAAACACCTTTATTTGTGTTCACAAGAACCTTACTAAATGTTTTGGTATTTCCGCCTAAGAAGGCATTTAATGAAGAAAATGAGCAGAACAATTAACAAGAATAAAAATACTATGAGAACAAAAATAGCTGCAGCTGTAATCCCACAGACCAGCTTCACATCCGACAGTTTCACTCCCCTAAGAAGTGGGGGGTTTGTACACACAGTCTCCTCCAAGCCTTCAAACTTTTGCAGGTTTTCTAGGAACCACATGAAGAAATGAATGTTAGAACAAGTGCAGTCCAGAGGGTTGTGGCTTAAATTGATGGTGGTCTGCTGGGACAAAGTGGGGAGGACATGGAAAGGAATGATGTCAATGTTGTTGTCAGCCAGATTGAGGTAGATGTTCTTAAGATGACTAAGAGCGTCAATGCTGTTGCCTGTCAGCCTGTTGTGGCTTAAGTCTACATAGTGAATTTTTTCAAGGCCATGGAGTGCTTGCTGGTCTATGGAAAGGAGGTCACAGGAGGCCAGAATTAGAATCTCCAGGCTGCCTACTGTCTGAAGCAGATTGGTCTTTGAGATTCTACCATCTTGAAAGCGATTTCCCTGTAAGTTCAGGTGCCGGAGGTCAAGCAGGCCTGCCAGAAGACGCTGATTGCTGGTATCAAGGAGACAGTGAGAGAGATTGAGAAACTGCAGGAGAGGGAGGTTTTGGAAGGGACTCTGTGGGACATTAACGTGCAAGTTGGTGAACGCCAAATCCAGCAGTACAAGCTGAGGGGTTTCTTGAAATGCCTGGTTCTGGAGCCCGAGGGGCTCATTATAGCTCAGGTTTAGGGACTGCAAGTGATGGAGATTTTTGAGTTGCAGAGTGCAGCAGTCAGAAGCCTCTATGTTACTATGGCTTAAGTCAAGCGTCTGAAGATTTTCTAGACTTTCTAAGCAGGCAACACCAAGATCAAGTTTCTTTGTGTTGCTTTTGATGTAGAGACTTGTCAGAGACGGAAAATTGGCAGCATTGATTTGACACAACTGGCCAAAATGATTTGCAGTGAGAACTAATTTCTTGAGTGAGCTCATGCCCTTAATGCTGGAGGGCAGTTCTTCTAAGTGAGTTGCTGTGAGATCCAGTTCCTGGAGTCGTGTGAAACACTGAAAAGTGGTAGACGAGATGGGAGAGAAATAGTGCTTCTGTAAGTTGATGCTCTCAACAGTCATTTCACAAAGTCCCTGAAGCATGCCCGAATCAATGTCTTTGTCCTCCATGTCCTCAAATCTACCAAGCCAGAGAGATTGAATAGTAGCATTCTGCAGACCTTGAAATATAACAGACACATCAAAAGTTCCTCCAAAGTTCAATTTTTGGAAGATTTTTGAATGGAAAGCCCCAGGTTCAATACCTTTGATGTCATTGCCACTAAGGTTAATACTCAGATTGGTAGCCTGCTTTAGAGAGTCCAGATCTTTCTTCATGAGGTAGTGTATAGCATTATTTTGAAAATCAAGGACTTTCAGATTCTGTGTTGGGAAGTTTTCTGGGAGCTCTATAGAGGTAATGTGATTGCTTCCGACATACAAACTTTGCAAATTTTCCAGATTGTGTACCGGAATAAACTTGAGACTGGATATTCCTATTTGTGTTAAGAAGAGATGCTTCAAAGAAGTGGGTCCATTTAGTGATGTTTCTGCCATGAATATCAGGGGATTTCCAGTCAATACAATTGTGCTTAATTGATACTGGCTTTGAAAAGTATCTTCATGTAACCAGTTGATCTGGCACCTTAAAAAGATAAAAAATTATTTAAGAATAATAATGCATTGTGAAGAAAAAAGCAAAACCAAACAAAAAAAGTATCACAATGACAAATCCTGCGGGAATGTAGCCATTACCCACTAATAAAAGTTTGGAAGAAAATAAAGACTCTGGAACCTGCTAAAAAGGTCAAAAAGGACATTTTCAATTGTTTTACTGTTATGTGTTAGGTGCTGTTGAGTCAACTACAACCCTATGAATACGAGATCTGAACCTTGTCTTATCCTGCATCATCCTCCCTAGCTCTCATACAAGCCTGTTATTACATTCACTGTGTCAGTTGATCTCATTGAGTTTCTTCCTCTCTCTTACTGACACTTTACCTTTCACAATGTGCTGTTTCTCTCCAAGGACTGGCCTTTCCTCATAACATACCTAAAGCATGTAAGATGGAATTACACCATTTTAGCCTGGGAAGGGAGGGAGGGAGGAGAAAAAAAGAAGAAGAAGAAGAAGAGGAGGAGGAGGAGGAGGAGGAGGAGAGAGAAGAAAGAGAGGAGAGAGAGAGAGAAAGGAAATCACACAATGAGACCATCAGAATATGCGTGTACTTGGCCTTAGCTACGGGTGGAACAAACAACAAAAGACTTCTCTAATCATACCCAACAATCATGTTCCCCCGATGAGTAATGTGGACTGGATTGACTAATGATGTTGTTGTATGCTGTCGAGTTGGAACCGACCCAAAGCTGACCCTCTGGGAGGTTTTTTGAGGTAGTTAATCAATTGCATGGGAGAAGATTGCCCACCCTTCTCTCACCACGCATCTGGTGGATTTGAACTGCTTGTCTTCAGGATTGCAGTGCAGCTTCTTACCTCTATGCCACCAGAACTCCCCAGATTTACTAATGATGTTGTAGACCTCCAAAAGAAGTCTAAGTTAAAATGTTAATGTAAAGATGTCCCAGGATGGTAGTGTCTTCAAGTAACTGGTGGAAGTAAACCATATCTTTCCTGGAGTCATGTACACAATTAGTTTTTATTAGAAAAAAAATTTAAACCTAAATGTAGATATATTAATAGATATAAGGAACTTATCACCATTGAATAAAAAAAAAGCTGACCCTTGAGCTGCTTTTTTAAAAATAATTTGTATTAATTATTTTAATGAAAGTTTACAGAAAACTTGAATTTCCATTCATGCATTGTTGTGCATTTTCTTCCCTAACCCCACCCAGTTCCCTTTTCTCTTTAAAAAGTTTATTTCTTATTTTCTGAGGCTGTAAATCACATAGGAGATTGCCCATCTTTCCTCCACAGACCCATGTATGGATTTGAACCATAAGGCACAACCTTTGTGTTGGAAATGCAATTTCCTACAGCCGGGGCCACCAGAGTTCTATCTTCATTTATACAGAACACATTTTCAATATTTTTCTATACTTTACTCCCCTATTTCCTATTTGCTTCATCTATTTCCACCTCTCTCTACTGAGTTATTTTTAAATAAAATCTCAGACATCCCGTTTTTTTAAAATAAACTCTCAGCCATCCCGTTATTTCAGGATGCAGTCCAAAAAAGTATGGATATAAATTTGTTTTCCACATCTAAGTGCCATTGTCACGCATAATAATATTAGTAACTCATTGGGTTTTTCTCTAATTCCATAAAACATTTTAAACAAAAAGTTTCACAGATGAAGTTTCAGAAAGGAAATGTGTTCAAAGTGAAAATTCACTAAATTCATTAGTTAGAGTCAACAGTAAAATAAAGCTACAGAATCAGATTCTCAAAGGCAGCAAATTCCAGAATTATAAGATATGTCTGATTTATATTAATGAAATATAGTAACCTGTGCTTAATGTTAGTTTAAGATTAAAATGTATTTTATTCAAGCTATAGTCTTTTTATTATTATATATTGTTTTATTTACAAAATTCGAATACATTGTTTTTCACACAAGATTCTTCCCATTCCTTCACTCACCCCCACTCATTGAATTGCACAACCTTATGATTAACACCCCATCCCTACCCATCCTCAGTCCTCTGCTTCCTCCCTCTCCTACCCCTTTGGATCCTCACTTTTTTTACTATAATAGTTTTATCCAGTATTTGCCCTTGTGGGACTGAGTTAGTTCACTCAGCATCATATCAAGCTATAGTCTATTGAATTACTGGCTATGCATCAGAAAGTTGGACAATGAATAAGAAGAATCCATGCCTTTGAGTTGTGTTGTTAGAGAAGAGTACTGAATATCCCATGAAATGCCAGGGGACAGATATGTTTTTGAGAGAGTACAACAGATAAGCTCTTTAGAGGCAAAGATGGTGAACCTTTATCTTACATACTTTGCATTTCTTGTTAGGAGTGACCAGTGCATGGAAAAGGACACCATACTTAGAAAAGTGGAAGAGAAGCAAAAGGGAGGAAGATCCTCAGGGAGGTAGATTGAACCTCAGGGAGATTCAAGCATATAAGAGATGGTAAGGATGTTCATAAGATCACTATGAGTCATAGTTCACTTGATGGCACATAACAATGACAGCAATGCTTAATACATTTAATAAGAATAAAAATATGATTAAAAAATGTTAAACTGGTCAGAAATATTTCTACAACTGTCAAAGACACATGATAATTTAAGAAAATCAATAACTGAATTTAGAAAGTATCTTGTGGTGGTGAAGTGCCATCCAGTAGATTAATTTGCATAGCAACCCTATGAACGACAGAAACTTTGTCTTCTTCTTCTTCATTATCTCCTCCATGCTCTAGTCTTTTGTTGTTGTCAATATATCAGTCTCATTAAGAATATCCTTCTCTTTCACTGACCTTTTAACTGACATATAATCAGAAGAATGTGGCATCAGGGTTAGAGGAAGACTCATCATCAACAACCTACGTTATGCACATGATTCAACTTGGCTTGCAAAAAGTGAACATGACTTTCAGCACTTTCTGCAGAAGGTCTAAGACTACAACCTTCATTATAGCTTCTCAACATCAAGAAAACCAAATTCCAACACTATGGTAAATGGAGAAAAGATTGAGGTAGTTAACAATTTCATTTTACTTGGATCCATAATGAATATCCATGGTGGTATTATTATTGTTATGCATTATCAAGTCAGAAATGACTCAGGGCCTACCTTCCGGTGGGCTTTTGGAGGCTCTCAATCACACAGGAGGAGATTACTAATTTTTTTTCTTCCTGCAGAGAAGTTGGTGGACTCAAATTTTGTACTTTTGGATTGGCAGTGAAACTCATTGCTCCTAGGCCACCAGAGCTCCTTCATAGCTTTGTTGTTGTTGTTGTTATGTGCTGTCAAATAGACTCCGATCCATAGCAACCCTATGCACAACAGCTTTGAACACTGTACTGTTCTGAGCCAATCTTACTGCCTCTGACATACCTACCCTCATTACCCCAGTTACTGTGTCAATCCATTTAATTCAGGCTCTTCCTTTCCTGTACTTGTCCCTCTACTCTTCTAAGCATGATGTCTCTTTTCAATGGCTGGTCTCTCCTGGAAACATGTCCAAAGTACTGGAGATGGAGCCTCAAAATCCTTGCCTGTAATGAGTAGCTTTGTTTCACTATCTCCAGGACAGATCTGATAGTTATACTGGCAGTACATAGTATGGTCAATATACTTCTCCAGTACCACAACTCAAAGACATCAATTCTTCTATCATCCTTGGTCATTGTCTAATTCCCTGATGCATAGCAAATAATTGTGAATACCATGGCTTGGACCAGACACACCTTAAACTCCTAATTGATATTGTTGCTCTTTAGCACTCTGGAAAGGTCCCCAGTAGCAGACTTCCCCAGTACAATTTAACTTTTGATTTCCTAATTGTTGGTGCCAAGAGTGCTGATTGTGGAGCTGAGCAGGCTGCAATTAGCAACCTCAATCTCTTCATCTAGCATGGTTCTGACAATTGGCCCAATGATGAAAATCTTTGTTTTCTTAATGTTGAGCTTCCATCCGTTTTGAAGACAATAGTTCTTGACTTTCGGCAGATAAACTTCAGGTCCTCAGTTTGAGCAAGGAAGGTTGTGTCATCTGCATATTGCAGATTGTTGATGAGTCTTTCTCCATTCCTGATGACACATTCCTCCTTATAAAGTCCAGCTCTTGAATGATGTACTCCACATAGAGATTGAAAAGGTATGGAGACAGGACACATCCCTGACACACTCCTTTGCTGATTTTGAACCACGCACTGTTTCCTTGTCCTGTCTGACTACTGCTTCTTGGTCCAAGTATAGGTTTCTCATGACCACAGCCAAGTATCTCACAACATTGTATTTCAAGATGGATCTGGAAATGGTCTTTTTTAACTATGAATGTGACCCTGTTTCCCCACCCCCCCACCTTTTCATTGTAGTTGTAGTAGTTGTTGTTGTTGTTGTTGTT